GTTTTCAATAATGCAAACGAGCAAAAGTATTAAACATTTTAGTGCATTAAAATTTTTTCATTAGCATTAGCTTGGATAATTTAAGGAAAAAATATTTCCTTAGCATTACATTTTTCAGAGTTAATGCATTGAAATATTCATTTGCATTAAATTTCATAAATTAATGCATTAATTTTTTACATTAGCATTATTGGTTTAAATACCATTAATGCATTAAAAAATTAATGCATTTTTCACAACTCTGGTATGTATGTATATCGTAGTTTAAATATACACTGCAGTCTCTTATGATCTCGTGAACTAAAGGAACATAAAGAACTTTTTTCCGTCTGCTTTACACCTGAAACATAATAAAATTTGATTTCCCTTTTAAAAGGGCCTTATTTGATCGTGGGAAAAATCATTTTATGTTAAAAAAACTGCCTACTCCTCAAATATTACCCGATTTCGATTATTAATTTTTTAAGGTTCGTTATTAATTTTACTGCTTTTTTGAATAGTCCTAAAAAATTTAACAAATTCAGCCCACACTAAAGGTCGACTCCTGGTCCCCGCAACATGGGCGTTTTTTCTGATAGCAGTCGCCATTCGGCAGGCAGTGGTAAATTAGCGAACGTAATTCTGGCATGATTGAAAATGCTAACACATATTTTGTTGCCAAACAAATGCTCGCTTACGATTGTCATTGTGCCATGATTTTGTTTCCATTTTTGTTAAGTTGCTTATAAAACTTACGATTGCTATAAATTTAGCTTAAATTTTTTTTTAAGATTTACAGATTTGGTGTCTTCAAACTAACAAAAAGAACCAAAAAACGCACCAAGCACCAAACTTAAAAATTTCCGCGTTTTGAATAAAGAAAAGCATCAAATTTAGTCCGATTTGCGAAAAGAGAAAATCACAAAATTTAGTTTGCAATTTAAATTAGTATAATCAATGTTCTGAATACTTTGCTAAAAATAATTCCACCCTTCAATCGAAAAACGTTGTAAGTAAGAAATATGTATTAATATACATTCATCTACTATCTATATATTAATACGCTAACATAAATTTTGTCTCAGTTCGTTTGGCGATTCTACCGAACCGATTTCAAAACCAAGAACACCGTTGGAAAGGCATTTTTCCGTAGATGGGCAGAGTTTTTATGATTTCATAATTGGTTGAAAATTGTGTATAGATGTTGCTGCAACATGTTCAATTTGACATGTTTCGCCTGTTGTTTCACTACACATTTGAAATTAAGCTTTGAAATAAACATAAATATGAAGATGAAGAAATAACTACAAGTTAATATTTTATAGAAATCCCGCAAAAAAGATAACTACAAGTGGGTTATTTTTTATCAACTGATAATTTTTTTATGCATTATTTCCATCAGTGCAAATAAGTACGTCTGGCAACCGTAGGTTCTGAAAGCATTGGCGGGCCAGTGAATTGGCCGCCTACACTATGCCAGTCGTACTGGCATGAAAATTAGACCGGCATTACAGTGCCGGCTTACATTACGCCAGTCACTGGACTGGCATAATGTAAACGGGGCATTGACTGCGCTTTCTTTTGTAAACAAATTTTGAGAAAAAACTGAAAACTGGATTTGAAAAACATATCATTCGTTGAGCGCTCATTTGTGGTAAGTGTATTTTTTTGACGATAATGTGTTAACTGTTTAAAAGTGTTTGTACATATCACACAGTATCTAAAGTTTTTGAAGTACAATTGACTGATCTGAATTACATTTTATAGTTCCTGAAATACAATTGACTAATCTGAAGTACATTTTACGGTTTCTGAAGTACAAATGGAAAAGAATTGGTCCATTCAATCAATTTCAGAACATTATTTCGGGTAATTCTCCCCATTTTTGATTAGCTCCTGGCCCATTGTGCTCTGAATGTATGTATTTGGCCCCTATTATGAGTTGCATTNGTCTAGCCGCCAAAATGTAAGAAAACATATACAAAATCATACATTTTTCACAATTTTCTAACACTTCGCTACACCATCGAAAGCAAAATTCTGTTCGACAGAAAATTCGATACTCAACGAAAATTTCGACACGCTTGCATAGCTCATAATACGAATTTCACTTTCGATCTTCGATCTTCGATAGCCAGCGAAGATCGAAAACCGAATGCAGCTCATAATAAGGGCCTTTATGTATGAGTGAAATTTGTTTTGTCATTATTCAAAACTGAACTCTAAATCATATGTTTATGTTTGCAGGTTAAAGAAGCGGAAGATTGTTATAACACAGCTTTACGTTTATGCCCAAACCATGCTGATTCTTTGAACAACTTGGCAAATATCAAACGTGAACAAGGATATATTGAGGAAGCGACGCGCCTATATTTGAAGGCGCTGGAAGTATTTCCAGACTTCGCAGCAGCACACTCCAACTTGGCTTCAGTTCTTCAGCAGCAAGGAAAATTAAAAGAGGCTTTAATGCATTACAAAGAAGCAATTCGTATTCAACCAACTTTTGCTGATGCATATTCCAACATGGGAAACACATTAAAAGAGCTTCAGGATATAAATGGTGCTCTCCAATGTTACACACGTGCGATTCAAATAAATCCTGCATTTGCTGATGCACATAGCAACCTCGCCAGTATACATAAGGATTCGGGAAATATTCCAGATGCCATACAGTCGTACAGAACAGCATTGAAATTAAAACCTGATTTTCCCGATGCTTATTGCAATTTAGCTCATTGTTTACAAATTGTATGTGACTGGACAGACTACGACGCTCGAATGAAAAAACTTATTAGCATTGTAGCAGAACAGCTTGAGAAAAATCGATTACCTTCCGTTCATCCACATCATTCAATGCTTTATCCACTATCACATGAGTTCCGCAAAGCTATTGCTACCAGGCATGCAAATCTGTGTTTAGAAAAGATTCATGTGCTACACAAGCCGGCATATAAGTTTTCACATGATTTGCCTACAGATGGGAGGCTACGTATTGGATATGTAAGCTCAGACTTTGGCAACCATCCTACCTCCCATTTAATGCAATCAATCCCAGGACTTCATGATAAAACATGTGTCGAGATATTTTGTTATGCGTTAAGCTCAGATGATGGGACAACCTTCCGATATAAAATTATACGTGAAGCCGAACATTTTGTAGATTTGTCCCAAATTCAGTGCAATGGTAAAGCCGCTGATCGCATTTACTCTGATGGAATTCACATATTAGTGAATATGAATGGATATACCAAAGGTGCACGCAACGAAATCTTCGCTTTACGCCCTGCGCCAGTGCAAGTTATGTGGCTCGGATACCCGGGAACTAGTGGCGCTAGTTTTATGGACTACATTATAACAGACCCTGTTACTAGTCCCATGGAGCTTGCTTCGCAATACAGTGAAAAGCTTGCGTATATGCCGAACACGTATTTCATTGGCGATCACAAGCAAATGTTTCCTCATCTTAAGGAACGAATTATTGTATGTGACAAACAGCAATCAACTATGGCAGACAATATCGCCGTTATAAACGCTGCAGACTTATCACCACTGGTAGAAAGTGCAGATGTTAAAGAAGTTAGAGAAATAGTAAATGTGCAAAAGCCAGTGGAAATTACACATAAGGTTGCAGAACTCCCAAATACTACTCAAATTGTATCAATGATTGCTTCCGGTCAAGTCCAGACCTCTCTTAATGGCATTGTTGTTCAAAACGGGCTAGCTACCACGCAAACAAATAACAAAGCCGCAACTGGAGAGGAAGTTCCTCAAAATATTGTTATAACAACTCGGCGCCAATATTTATTACCCGATGACGCAATAGTTTATTGTAATTTCAATCAATTATACAAGATAGATCCACAAACGTTACAATCATGGGTTTCTATTTTAAAGAGTGTGCCAAATTCAGTGCTATGGCTACTGAGGTTTCCTGCCGTTGGAGAACAGAATATAAAGAAATCGGTTGAAGCCGTTGGTAAGTAAATATTTTTATCTTTGAATCTCCATTGTCATCAATCCTTTTTTTTACAATGTTAAAAAGTTTAAGGTGTCTTTCAGAACAATATATCTCATTCAATGATTGTTTTAGTAGACATATTTTTATGAATTTAAAGGGTGAACACACCAAAACTGCGACACTTAGAAATTACTACCAGAAACAAACTAGAAGACTTTGAAATTATTTTTTTTTGTATTATTGAACTTGGAAGTTTAGAGGTTATTTAAATGTTAAAATATTAGTTATTATTTGCTCAATATGCAAGTGATCGGTATTTTCATCGCACACGCGCCATGATGTTCTGCACGACGGAATCATCGACTTTACGCGATGCCCACAACTATTGTTTTTGCACTCTTCAATATTTTTTACTGTTTCACCTGTTTTCTTCAAGATTTCTTTGACAATTGACGAATATTCCCCAATAGGACGTAGCTCTGGGCTATTGGGTGGATTGCAGTCGTGAGGTACAAAATTGATGTTATTTTCATTATACCGCGGCAATGTGTCCTTGGCATAGTGGCAGCTTGCCATGTCCGCCAGGAACAAATAGCTTGCCAAACCATGTGGTTTTTTGGAAATTTGAACTTCATTTTCAGCTTACAACTTTCAGGGGCATCTTGACGACTTGCAGCAGTATGAAAATCTTGACCTGCAATATATTTTGAATTTTTAAAGCAGTAGGTTTCGTAGTCCATAACAATGCAGTTGTATTTTTTATTTAGAATTCTTACAACTTCCGAATGCGGGATTTCGCTGTAACATTCTACTTTGCGCCTCGGTCTGGCGCTGTTTGAGCTGTAGAACCTTTCCGCTTTACCTTTTGTACGAAAAACTGCGATCTGCGTACGGATTTTGCAACATAACGCGACAAAATCTTCGGGTCTCGCGAAAACGCACTGAGGACCTTCCGAGCACTGTTTTTATCACTTTGACCATGCTAACCCTCGCTCCCTGGTTTTCTCGTAACTGCCAGGCCTTATTTGTACCGATTAAAACCCTACAAACTGTCGAATAGTGCAATCTTTAATTTTTAACAATTTTACGTGTACTTAAGCCGGATCATTTATAAACTGCAAAATGTTGTCCGTTCTGTCGGTTGCCATTTTTAACTCAACTAGGAATCAAATTCAAATGAAATTTCTTCTACGTCCAACTAAGGTCATGGTCAACTTATGGTATTTAAATTTCAAAATATTGAAATCTTTTTGGGTAAGTTATAAGCTTCCCAAAGTGTCGCAGTTTTGGTGTGTTCACCCTTTATGTACATATACAAATAAACTTTCATTATAGACACTGAATATGTTGCACTGGTTGCCATTTTTAGATATCTTTCCATCAATTCTTTTGGTTTTACTTCAATGTATATTTATTTATTTCAAGTCTTTGAATACAAATATTCTAACAGACTTTATAAATCTAAAACTATGTAGAAATTAACGTTAACGTAAAACTAACATACAAATAAAATGTAGCAAACGAGTAATAAATGGCTAATGGTATAGCTGGGAAAAGAATTGACGTGGGTAGTTGATTAAAGTGGCACTAGGTTGCAAGAAATCAATATCTAAGGCATTGAAGACTGTATTTAATTCTTCACATGTACGAAATATAGGAACATTGGCACCATAATTGGTTTTGGAGGAACCAATATTAAAGAATTCAGAATGACGAGAAGTACTCTCGAAGGGACATTGAATGCAATTTTATTTAGAAAGGAGGGGCAATCAATCGATTAATTATGAGTTTGACATCAAATGAGCACGTTAAAAAAGAACTCGTATTTTCAAGGGTATCCTGGCTAATTAGCAGGCACCGAGAATGACAAGAGGGCAATGGCATAGAAAAGTTTAAAGGTCGGAGAGCAAACGGAAGAAAAACTTTTTGAACACGCTCTAAGCGGTTGAAAAGAGTCTTACTGTAAGGCCTCCAGATAAAAGCTGCGTATTCTATCTTCGATCTGCCAAATGCACAAAACAGAACCTTATGTGTGTAAGGATTTGTGAATGCTGAACAATTTCGTCGAATAAATGCTAACATCGGTGCCGTAGCAGGGGGGATATGGGGGGATAGATCCCCCCCCCCCCCTTCGTCATTGAACTACAATTATTTACTTTTGAATTAATAACAAAATACTATTAATAACAAAATACTATTTTATCCTTCTGATTTAACATTTTTTTATTTCAGACGGATGACAAATTATCTTTTAATGAATATATGAGTAGTCCACTTGCAAACAGCGTTATGTGATTTTATAAATTAAAAAAAAAAACGTCTACGACAACAATAACATCCAAACTGTATCTGTTTTTTGTTTGCTGGGTTGGAGCTGCTTCGGCCGATGGAGTAAAAGGCGAAATGCTTATATTTTTCCCTTGTCCCTTCTACGCGTTTCGACACTTCGTGTCATCTTCAGGGAGTCTGTTTTATTAAACGATAAACAATAAACATGAAGAACGAACGAAAACCATGATTAACAAAAACATAATAATAGTTGCATGCATACATACATATATACACAACAATAGTTACATATGTACATGTATACTTAACACTAATTATCTACACACATAATATCACTTGAAACTCACATTAAATATTGACAAGAATTTTACATTAATTTGCACATTTGAAGGTAATACAACATTACACATTTGAAGGTAATACAACATTTAGGAAGAATTATTGAAGTATTCTTATTTATATTTTAATTTTAGTACGGCTGCATATGTGTTCTTCGTGTTGTCGACGTCTTCCTTAAAGTTGATTGCGTTGTCCAATTGTTGTTGTATTCGTAGGCTCTCCAGTGTCATTCTCCTTCTTTCTCCTCTTTCGATGTCCAAAATTCTGTGTTGCCGAAGTCCGCTATATGTTCGTGCGTTGTTAAGTGTTGAGCCAGTGCTGTTGTCATCTTTTTGTTTCTCGCGTCCGCTCTGTGTTCATTGATTCTTATACCCAACGCTCTTTTTGTTGTGCCTACGTAGCATTTATTGCAGCTTTCGTTATCATTGCCCTTGCACTTTATTTGGTACACTACATTGTGTTGTTGCTCCTTTTCAATCTTGTCTTTGGTTTTCGTCAACAATTTGTTGATTGTGTTATGGGGCTTGTGTGCATATATCACATTCTCATTTTTTATTGTTTTTCGGAGTCTTAGTTATTTGTAAGTCCTGGTATGTATGTCACCCCAATGTATTTTTTGTTAGTGTTGTTTGGCTGTACTTCGGTGTTTTGGCTCGGTTGGCGAATTTGGTTTATTGTTGTTTGTAATAATCTTTCTATTAACGCGTGCGGGTAGCTGTTTTTGTACAATATGTTTTTTATTTTCTTGTTGTTTTGCTCTGTAAATTCTTCGTCGCTGAGCAGATGACTTTTCTAATAAGACTGGCAGCGGTGTTTATTTTTTGTTTCCATGGGTGATTGGAATGAAAATTTATCAATCTCCCCGATGCAATGGATTTTGCATACCAGTTCAGCAGAATTCGGTTTCCCTTTTTATGCACTTCTACACCTAGAAGGCAATTTTCTTGATTTTTCCCTTTCGACTGTAAATTGTATTTTTGTATGTTGTGCATTTAATATTTCTAGTATGTCTTCCGCGTCTTTTGCTTTAATTATTGCAAACATATCGTCTACATATTTATTTATGTATTTTATATGTATGTCGTGTTGTTTAAGTTCAGCTATGCTGTCGTCCAATATTTTGTCAAGTACGATGTCCGCTATGGTAGGGGATAATGGGTTACCCATTGGCATGCCATAAATTTGTTGATAAAGGGTGGTATTGTATTTGAAGTAATTGTTATCCCTAAGCAAAACTCGAGTATGTATGAAATTCTTTTCGTGTAATGTTTGTAAAATTCTCTAATTTTTTCCAATTCTTCATAATTGTCTGTATGGCTAAATGTATCGGGATATTCGTAAATAGTGATATGACATCGAATGATATTAAAATTTCATCTTCTTCAATAGTAATATTTTTTAGATTTTCCTTCAGTTGATAGGAATTCCTTATATTATATTCGTCAGAGATTATGTTTTTTAAAATGTTGCCAATAAACTTCGATAATTTGTAGCAGGGAACATTTGTAGACGAGGATATTGGTCGGAGAGGTGTACCGGTTTTATGAATTTTGGGTAGTCCGTATAATCTAGGAGCATTAGCTGCTGTGCATGTCAAGTGGAATTTTTGTTTTACGTCAATTTTTTTCTGCTTGAATAAGTCGTTTACTATATTGTGTTTTTCCTCAATAATTGTTGGGTAGGATCACTTCTTATGGTTTTGTATGTTGTTTTGTCATTCAGTAATTTCCTCATTCTATCTTCGTAATCCTTTTTGTAGATCATTACCGTTTTATTTCCTTTATCTGCTTGTGTTATTATTATTTCTTCCTTGTGTTGACCTATAAATTTTCTGGTGTCTCAACGTTTTCAATATAAATTTTTCTTTCGTATTGTTACTTAATCTGTCATAGAATGTATTGATTCTTGCAGAGATATTGCTTCTTGTTGCATCTTTTTCCCTTTCGTCAGTAATATCTTGTATGCCTTGCTCTAAGTCGGCAATTATGGGAATCGGGGAAAATGTTTTCTTAGACACCGGCAATGCGAATTTGCCTCCAAGTGACAGTAGCCAACGGGAATACTTAGGCATGGGAATATTTGTTATATTTTTTGATATTTGCTCATCTAATTTTTTCTCATGTAGTTTCTGCGTGTCTATTGAAACTTTATTAGAAAATTGTTTCTGATTTTCTATTATTTTCTTGTATTCTACTTCCATAAGTCTGCTTTCAGTAAATTTTCCCCATGTTTAATGTTGGTTGTGAATATTTTTATATTAATATTTGTTTCTTTAATTTCTAATTGAGGATTTTGTATCTTTTTTTATTACCTGAAAATTTGGATAAATAAGAGCCTAATACCATTAAAAAATAAAATTGCAGTATGGTAGATTTGCAATTTTATATTTA